CAGCCCAAGTGCCGACAGCACCGAACTCTCCCACTAGATACCTTTTTCGTATGCACGACTCTGGGAATCATTGTCGATCTGTGTCGGATACTCTAACATCTTTTATACAGTCTAGACAAAACGTTCGGGATCCTTGTCTCCATCGCTCATTCCCCAAAGCCTCAGCTCTCCATATAATATTTAGGCAATGAGCGATTGTTTATTTCATTACCTTGCAGCTTTTTATTCGCCTTTTGTCCGTATTCTCCTCAAATGATGTGTACCGTAGCAAACCTAGAATTGTTATGTACGTTCCAAGGCAAACACTTTGACAATGTCGACGTTTAAGTGGCTCGCTCATTACGCCCAGACGGTCGGTGCGCCGTTTCCAGCTGTGGCATGCGCTGAGGACCGCGTAGTTTGCAGCAAAACCAGTCCTGAAATTCATCGGAAACATTGTCCGATATTCTGATTGCTTGCGATCTGATTCGAGCGCGTCCCATCATGTCGTGAGCCATCTCGGTCCAAAAATTTACCAAAAATTCATCAGTGGTTTTAAAAAGCATCCAGCAAGGCGAGGGCGTTTTTTTACGATTTCATTCGAAATTTCAGATGATCCAAAGTCTGGATATATTAAGATCAACTGGGCGCAAGGATGACTAGACAAACCCTAAACTCCTCCATCTCGGTGAGTAGAACCATCTAGCTGTTTGACGGCCGCGATGGCCTTGATATCGTAAAAAAATGTCCTCTGATGACTTTTCTCCCCTCACAGACAACCCTCGCACACTTTTTCATACAAAAATGGTTAAAGATAAGATTCACGTTAACGTCGTCGGTGAGTATCTCTCCTTTCTGGTGCCCCACGAGATCCAGAAATGATCGCTAATGCTCTAATCGCAGTCATCGGACACGTCGACTCTGGAAAATCGACCACCACTGGTCATCTCATCTACAAGTGCGGTGGCATTGACAAGCGAACAATCGAAAAGTTCGAGAAGGAAGCCGCTGAACTTGGAAAGGGTTCATTCAAGTATGGTATGTGGGTTTTTTGGCGATGCGCGTTGCCCCCATCGTCTGATCATTGATTCTTCCCCGCCCAATTTTTTCATCGATCCAGCTTGGGTGCTCGACAAGCTCAAGGCTGAGCGTGAGCGTGGTATCACAATCGATATCGCCCTCTGGAAGTTCGAGACCCCCAAGTACATGGTTACTGTAAGTATCTGGTTCTTTTTTTCCCACCTCGAGTTTGGGCGCTACCGATTGCGGGTGGCTAAACTCTTCTCACGTTCATTGTACTTATCGACTTTTTCCCCCAGGTCATCGACGCTCCTGGCCAC